TGAAGTTTTCGCTTAAGAATATGGTTCTCTTTTTGGTCTTGGTATTTTTACCCTGTTTCTACTATTCTATGTATGTATATGAAAAATTTAGTTCGGCTTTCTGCGTCACGTCGGCCATTTTGTAGCACGCGTTGTTTTTTAGGCATTTCTTTTGAAGCATTCCTGTTCAGAGGGTTCTCTTCTGGACGTTATTTTTGATTTCTTTTTTTTTTGTAACTTTTTTTGTGCCCGGCATCTTTACACAAAACTATATTTTGTCACTGTAACTCCCGAAAATATGCTAAAATAATAGGTAACGCGCGCGCGCACACAAGATTCTCTGAGCGAAGCAAGCGAACGAATGAGCAGCCGTACAATGATACATGCACAATAATAATTCTTGTTCGGCAGTTTGTTCATGTTTCTTACTTACTTTAATATTATGTACCTAATAGAACATCCCTTGTTTTCTCTAAGGTACAACTTTCAGGTGTAGGTACTTATTTTGCGTAGGCAATCCTGTATCTTTGCGTATGTCATTTATGTAAGTACTTGCCATAATATTAATAATAATAATAATAAATAATGTGGTACCCGTTACCCCGTTCTTGGTATTTTGCGCAGACAATCCGGTATCGATTCTGCGTTCGAGAGCTTGCAATGCCGGATGAAGGAATGTAATGTATTTATACCTACCTATCTATATTTTTTCACTTTGTTTCATATCTTCTGAGTTACTTTTGCTAAATTCGTTTCTCAGATGTTTCTTTTGAAGCATTCCTGTTCAGGGGATTTTCTTCGATATTTAAGTTCAGTTTTCTTTTTCACGTGGTATTCTCGTTTCGCTGTTTGTGTTATTTTCATTTTCACGTCGTCGGCCATTTTGGTACTATGGCGTAGGTAGTATCTACTTTTTTGTTTTTAATCCACAACGAGAAAGCTCTTGGCCTGTATCTCACCTGATGGTAAGTGACGATCAGGTCGAAGGTGGAAGCGAGTGAAAACTTAGCTCCCAAACGGATGTTTTTTTTATTTTCGTTTATTTATAGTTAAAAACTAGAATTTTTCGGTCTCAAAAATGTTTTTCTTTGCAAAGTCAATTTTTTTTGCAGACGTTCCTGTTCAGAGGATTATCTTCTTTATTTAAAGCAATATTTATTTTTCATTTAAAAATCTGAAGTTATGACTTTGTTTTTTGTCATCAGCCATGTTTATTCAGAATTACTTCTACTGAATTATTTTCTTAGGTGTTTTTTTAAGCATTCCTGTTCAGGGGGTTTTCTTCTATATTTTCGTTCACGTTTTTTCGTTAACGTTTTTTCACGCAATATTTCTTTTGCATTTAAAACGAAGTTTTCGCTTAAGAATATGGTTCTCTTTTTGGTCTTGGTATTATGAAAAATTTAGTTCGGCTTTCTGCGTCACGTCGGCCATTTTGTAGCACGCCTTATTTTTCAGACGTTTCTTTTGAAGCATTTCTGTTCATGGCGTTTTTTTCTGGACTTCGTTTTTGATTTCTTTTTGTCATCGGCTTTTTTTTATTCGGATTTACGTATACTGAATTTTTTTTGTAGGTGTTTCTTTTGAAGCATTCCTGTTCAGGGGGTTTTCTTCTATATTTTCGTTCGGCTTTTTTTCCCATAGTAGGTATTTCTTGTAGTACAGGCAGTACCTTTGGAACAGTCATTGTTTTCTTTATACTCATTTTGAAACCATATACCGCTTTTTATCGGTAAAAACCAGAATTTCTCGGTCTCAAAAATGTTTTTTGGCAGTCCAAATTAAAAAAAAAATTCAGACGTTTCTCTGAAGCATTCCTGTTCAGAGGATTCTCTTCTTTTTATCAAGCAATATTTATTGTTCATTTAAAAATCGGAAGTTATCGTTTACGATATGGTTCTCTTGGTGAAGTCCAAATTTCTTTTATTAATATTTACTAAGATTACTTTGTATTTTTTTACCCTGTGTTTACTATTCTGTTTGGATTTCTATTTTACATTGACAATTTTTTAGCACGCGTTATTTTTCAGACGTTTCTTTTGAAGCATTCCTGTTCATGGTTTTTCTGGACTTTTTCGTTTCGTTTTTGATTTATTTGGATTTCGTTTTATTCGGATTTACTTCTACTGAATTCTTTTCTTAGGTGTTTTTTTAAGCATTCCTGTTCATGGGGTTTTCTTCTATATTTTCGTTCGGCTTTTTTTCCCATAGTAGGTATTTCTTGTAGTACAGGCAGTACCTTTGGAACAGTCATTGTTTTCTTTATACTCATTTTGAAACCATATACCGCTTTTTATCGGTAAAAACCAGAATTTCTCGGTCTCAAAAATGTTTTTTGGCAGTCCAAATTAAAAAAAAATTCAGACGTTTCTCTGAAGCATTCCTGTTCAGAGGATTCTCTTCTTTTTATCAAGCAATATTTATTGTTCATTTAAAAATCGGAAGTTATCGTTTAGGATATGGTTCTCTTGGTGAAGTCCAAATTTCTTTTATTAATATTTACTAAGATTACTTCGTATTTTTTTACCCTGTGTTTACTATTCTGTTTGGATTTCTATTTTACATTGACAATTTTTTAGCACGCGTTATTTTTCAGACGTTTCTTTTGAAGCATTCCTGTTCATGGTTTTTCTGGACTTTTTCGTTTCGTTTTTGATTTATTCGGATTTCGTTTTATTCGGATTTACTTCTACTGAATTCTTTTCTTAGGTGTTTTTTTTAAGCATTCCTGTTCATGGGGTTTTCTTCTATATTTTCGTTCGCCTTTTTTTCCCATAGTAGGTATTTCTTGTAGTACAGGCAGTACCTTTGGAACAGTCATTGTTTTCTTTATACTCATTTTGAAACCATATACCGCTTTTTATCGGTAAAAACCAGAATTTCTCGGTCTCAAAAATGTTTTTTGGCAGTCCAAATTAAAAAAAAAAAATCAGACGTTTCTCTGAAGCATTCCTGTTCAGAGGATTCTCTTCTTTATGTCAAGCAATATTTATTATTGTTCATATAAAAATCTGAATTTATCGCTTAGGATATGGTTCTCTTGATGAAGTCCAAATTTCTTTTAATATCTAAATGCCTTTGTATTTTTACCCTGCTTTCTATTTTACGTCGGTCATTTTGTAGCACGCATTATTTTTTTAGACGTTTCTTTTGAAGCATTCCTGTTCAGAGGATTCTCTTCTGGACTTTGTTTTTGATTTCTTTTTGACATCGGCCATGTTTCATTCGGATTTACTTCTACTGAATTCTTTTCTTAGGTGTTTTTTTAAGCATTCCTGTTCAGGGGGTTTTCTTCTATATTTATATAATATTATATTTTATGTACTTAATGGAATAGTCATTGTTTTCTCTGAGGTAATAAAACTCATTTTTAAACCATAATGTCTACCTCCGCTTTTATGGTTAAAAACCAGAATTTTTCGGTCACAAAATAAACCTATATTTTTCTTGGCAAAATCCCATTTTTTTTCCCAAAGCATTCTTGTTCAGTAACCGACATAGCTCGCAGAATTGAAATCAAGTTGGCAGTGGGCGGGGCACGTAGCTCGTAGAGACGATGGCCGTTGGGGCAGGAAAGTTCTCAAGTGGCGACCATGGGCTGGAAGACGTAGCGTGGGCAGGCCTCCTACTAGGTGGACCGACGATCTGGTAAAGGTCGCGGGAAGAGCCTGGATGCGGGCAGCGCAGGACCGTTCATTGTGGAAAGCCTTTGTCCAGCAATGGACGTCATTTGGCTGAAACGAACGAACGAATTCCTGTTCAGAGGATTCTTTTCGTTTTTTCAGGCAATATTTCTTTTGCATTTAAAAATCTGAAGTTCTCCCTTAAGAATATGGTTCTCTTTTTGGTCTTGGTATTTTTACCCTGGGTCTAATATGAAAAATTTAGTTCCGTCACATCGGCCATTTTGTAGCACGCGCTATTTTTCAGTCGTTTTTTTACATTTAAAAATCAGAAGTTATCGCTTAGGATTATGGTTCTCTTGGTGAACTCCAAATTTCTTTTTAAGTATATCTAATATGCCTTTGTATTTTTATCCTGTTTCTACTACTTATTCTATGTTTAGCTTTCTATTTTACGTCGGCCATTATGTAGCATTTTTAGACATTTCTTTTTGAAGCATTTCTGTTCATATCGTTCTTTTCTGGACTTTGTTTTTGATTTCTTTTTTGTCATCGGCCATGTTTTATTCGGATTTATTTCTTACTGAATTCTTTTCTTAGGTGTTTTTGAAGCATTCCTGTTCAAGGGGTTTTCTTCAATAATTAAGTTTAGCTTTTTCCAGTAGAATTATTGTTTGTGTATTCAAGTTTGTTACTTTATGTAAATGATAAGTAATAAAATTGTTTTCTGTAATCCCCACATAGGGGCCGTTCAAGTATTACGTAAGCACCAAGGGGGGGTGGGGGGGTCTCTGTTTTGCTTATTTTGGATGACATGGGGGTAGGGGGGTCTAGATGATGATTACGTCATCGTTAGTTATTTCATCATTGCAAACGTTGTGATAGGGATAGAGACATGCGATTTTTGGTTTTACGAAGGTAATACGATAGAGAATAATACAAAGTAATAAAAACTACCTGTTATAGGGGCATTTTTTGGAGAAATTTATTAAATAACCAAAAAAACACGAATTTAAAAGCAGTTTTTTTATCAAAAAGTATCATTTTTTATTATTTGTTGGCCTTTTTTGTGTATTTTATGTATTTTTTTAGTATCGCCTGTTATTTAGCATTATTACTGTTTCTACTTTATCAGGTGACTAACGTGAGTCACGTTAAAGTGTACATATAAAAATAGATGAAAGAAAGAGGTCAAAATTTTTTTGATATTTTTTTTTTTTAAATTTATAGAATTTTTTTCTTCCAATTACTTATTGCAAAGAAAACGTAATTACTTTTAAACTAAGCGGTATATCCTGAGTTGGTGGTGCAACTCAGCCTAAGTAGGTAATTTAAGATGCATCTTTTCGTGATGATCTTATACCTACTTACTTTTCACATAGTGAGTAGGTACTTTACTTTGCTTTGTTTTATAGGTCAGACATTTTGCTTAACATTTTGGATTTACTTCTGCTAAATTCGTTTCTCAGGTGTTTCTTTTAAAGCGTTCCTGTTCAGGGGGTTTTCTTCAGGTTTTTCGTTCAGGTTAATTTTTCACGTAGTACCTAGCTATTACCTGCTCTTTTAGAGACGTTTCTTTTGTTGTTTTGGGAGCGGTGTATTCCACAATAGTTGGTCGGAGGGGTCGAAAGAAAAGCATTCCTCGGATCTGCAGTCCGATACTGTTGCATGCCGATATGGTATGATGTAGCTGAACAATATACATTTTTATGTGATCTATATGTACCTACATTATGCAATAAATGATTTTGATTTGATTTGATTTGAACCGTTAGGCTACCTATTGTCGTAAAACTTTATGTAAAAGTAATTTCAGAGTCTAAAATGAAAATATTTAACTTGCATAGACTTGCGTTAACTAAACCACTGTTATTCAAGTAGGTAGGTACAAAAATTGTGGCATATTTGTTGTAAGATGTTCATTTAATAAACAACTACTATTAAATTAATTATTAGGTATTAAATTCTTGATTCTAATAAAATAGGTTAAATTGTTTAAAAATATCTTTAGATATGGACAAAAGTTGAATCTTGTAAATGTAATAGAATAAAGTGATAGTCTGTTTCAAAACTTACGTTTATTTTAGGAATATTATACTTTTTAATTTGTTATTACCTATATTTTGTCATGATTTGATGATGAAGTTTTTTCAAACTTAACAGCACACAATTATGTGCTATTAATTGATCTTTATTAAGTATTTAAGTTTTTCTAAACTTAAATAATAACGAACTCAGTACACGTGTATCTTGTATGTAATTACTATAACCAAATAATAATTGTTACTAACCATACACTTAAAAATAAATGTGATGATTTATAACCATGGCCTTTGATTTTTTCCTTTTCTTCAACTGCAGAGTCTCGACCACTTGTTTTTCTTCTATTTTTAAATCTGCCAACTCCTTCAGGTTTTCGTCGTCACTTTTGGTAGATTCTTCGTCATCGCTGTAGTTGTACTTCATGGAATAGTCGAAGTATAGTTTGTCTTCGACCAATCGATAGTCCGGCTTGGATATCGTGCCGCGCATGCAGTCGTGGTAATGGCAGACAATTTTTTCTTGCTCGTACGTTTCGCAGGAACCTGGAATTTTTAAAGAAAGATGATAGCGAATTTGGCGAGGTGTTTGGAAACCTACGCACACTAGTGTTCCGGGTTCGATGCCTGCGACCCGTACAAGATACAAATACCTATTTGTTTGTTTTCTAATTTTCTATGTAAGGATAATATTACTGTCTAATTTTTGCCGTTTCCACTACTTACAACACTTATTGGTGATAAAAATTCTTATGGTTTCTGGAATAATAGGTAAGGATCACGGAATTAAAAGTTACATATTTACCTATAAGTTTTTATAACCCTCCAGCCAGCTAACTTAGGCGATTATCACACTGCACCGCGCTCCGCCGCGGTCCGCGGGGCGACAATAACGAATCCCGCACGCAAACGCGTTGTCAGTGTGTTGTGCCGCGCGTGTTTTCTATACAAACTGAGGTACTTGCATAATAATGATTAAATCTGTCATCCCGCGTACCGCGGCGGAGCGCGGTTCAGTGTGATAATCGCCTTAAAGTTAACCTCAAGAATCCAGCGGTCGACTGGACAGCACTCAACTACAAGTAGGAGAAACCGCGTGCAAAAGCTAGTAAGTACTATAAGTATGTCTCACCAGGCCTCTGCACGCGCACAGTGAGCACGGCGCGCTCCGGTGCCATGTCGCGAAAGTGCACGAGGTAGCACGCCAGCATCGTGCCCGTGCGACCGCGCCCGTGCCGGCAGTGCACTCCGATCACCTACAAAAAAGGTTAAGTTCATTTCTACCACTAGATTAAGCAGCTTTGGTTAAACCACTTCTACTTCTAACCTGGTTTTAACAATTTATTTCTACCACTAGATTAAGCAGCTTTGGTTAAACCACTTCACTTCTACTTCTAAAATAAGCAAAATTACGCAACCGTGATAAACCCCATTTAAATTCTACTACTAAATTAAGCAGCTGCAGTTAAGTAACTCAAATAAATCCACTTCTACTTCTATCACTAAATTATTATTAAGCAGCGGTAGTGAAACCGCCTCATTTCTATCACGAAAATAAGCAGATGTGGTAAAACCACTTCACTTCTGCGACTAAATAAAGTAGCTGGTAAAACCACTTCACTTCTACAACTAGATTTAGCAGCGGTGATTAAACCGCCTCACTTCTACCACTAAATTAAACAGCAGTGGTTAAACCATTTCACTTCTATCACTAAATTAAGCAGCTGTGGTTCAACCACTTCACTTTTACCCCTAGATTAAGCAGCTGTGGATAAACAACTTCACTTCTACCACTAAAATAAGCAGTTGTGGTAAAACCTCTTCACTTCTACCCCTAGATTAAGCAGCTGTGGTTAAACCACATCACTTCTATTACTAAATTAAGCAGCTGTGGTTAAACCACTTCACTTCTATCACTAAATTAAGCAGCTGTGGTTAAACCACATCACTTCTATTACTAAATTAAGCAGCTGTGGTTAAACCACATCACTTCTATTACTAAATTAAGCAGCTGTGGTTAAACCACTTCACTTCTATCACCAAATTAAGCAGCGGTGGTTAAACCACTTCACTTCTATTACTAAATTAAGAAGCTGTTGTTAAACCATTTCACTACTATCAACCACTAAGGACCGATTCGACCAAACTTTTATTTTATTTTATTCCGAGAATAACTTCTGGTATGACTGGCACATTGCGTAGGTAGGTAGGTACCTACTACAATAATAAAAGAAAGTATTTTATATTCTTACCTCCCCTCTAATTTCTGCTCTCTCGCATATCTCGATGAACTTCAAAATCTGCTTTAGATTTGGCGTCCCGAACTCCTTTATTCTAATCTCCGACCATTTCAATTTCTTCTTGCATTCCAGGATCGGTGGTCTTCGCTCAGGTGACAGCGTAATTAGGTGGTCAACTCCAACATCGGCCAAATAATTCAAATTCTCAACCGTTTGCGGCCACCCCATGGCAGCCACTTTATTCTCTATGAACCATGAGAAGTTGTACGGCGGGTAGGACTCGTAATCTTTGACTTCCGGTTTCGCGGTTGTCTCTGGTTCCGGCGCGGACGCAGCTTCCTCTTTGTTGTCTTTGGGCTCGTCTAGGTATTTGTAGAATAATTTCGCAAGTTTCACGTTGGTTCTCATTTTGTTTGTAATCATTTTTATGTATTTTGTGCTTCTATTTGAGGATTTAAAACGTAAATTGACACGATCAGTTTCTGAAAAATTAGGACATGAATTTAAAATTTACAGTAAAATTATAAAACAATAGTTTTAAAAATTCATTAAAGTTAAGAAAACTACTTTAATTAGTTAACTACTAACTGCTCCAGGTAAGTAATGCAGTAAAACACTTTGTTTTTGATTCATCATCATCATCATTTCAGCCATAGGACGTCCACTGCTGAACATAGGCCTCCCCCAATGCTTTCCATGTTGATCGATTGGTATCGATTGTTTTTGATTGGACCAGAATAAAATTAAATAATAATAGAGGTACATATAAAGGTACCTAGAAGGTATCTCGGAAATTTGCGTGGCGAAAAACTTTTCCTATAATTAACCGTATCTAGTTAAAAATACATCTAGGTTCACTAAGAAATCTAAGTGCGGACTGCGGCTATTGAATTGCTTTCGATTCACAAATGCAGTAATCGCAGATTCTAATCTACTCTGTCAAACGCTTTGTTTAACTGACTTTATCGTACGTTATGAACTGTCAAATGATTACGATTGCTTTACACAATTCCACCTCCCAATAAACTTGTCCCAAAACTTCACTTGCAACGTCACCAAGTTATCATTTAACTTACCGTCTTATCACTTTCACCACAAAATCACTTATCACTTCCCCAACATGTGATAGGTAAAGAGACTAGTGTCAGTTATTTTAGGATGCTCTCTATAGTTTGTTCGTAGTTGGTGAGGTGCCAATTGAGCGTATTGGCCAACGCTTTGGCAAGATCCAATACTGACATTTACCAGGGTTGGGTTTGCCAATTTATATTAATTGGAATACGTCATGCACTAGAGAACTTTGAACTGCAATGGTACTAAGTCGTCACTAATAAGATAGGTTGCATTGTGGATATTGGGAGTCCCAGGTTCAAGTCTTGGAGCGGTCAATGTTAGTTTGTAGGTAACGTTTTTGTAGTAGGAAATTAGGTTACCTACATTTGGGGGTACGTTTAAGTTACAATTTAAAGTTATTACTATGTACCTATTTACTAATATTTAAGGACCTACACGTCAACAAAAAAATAACCAAGGACCTACTAATGTTTATTCCGAAAAAACATTTCAACTTTAAATTACTACACTAAAAATACTCTATTTGTAACGGGATACTTGGGCACCATAAACCATCGATATAACTACAGAATCTGGCACAACACTATCTTGATCTTCCAGAAACAGCTTTAGCTATGTATAGCACAAGATCTTATCTTATTAAAAATCTATCTAAGCTATATTGTGTTACTTCTATAATTTACTGGAGCACCGAACCAAAATGAAGAAGTAAAGGCCGAGCTGAAATGGCGGCATTTTTTTTAAATGCGGGTAGGTATGTTGGATTGGTCAACCGATAGATAAATTGACTTACCGTCAAATTCAAATGAACTGAGCCTACCATGATTTTATTTTTAGAAAGGTATACTTCTAAATTATTGGACAAATAATTTGGAGCTTATTACCTACTATTTGCTGCCTTATTTTAAAAAATCTTTTTAATTTTTGGGCCAGTTTGAAAAAAAGTAAAACAACGACATAAACAAAACAGTCAACATTTAATCTCAGGTACATCATCACACATCACGATCATCACAGTTCAATCTAGCACTTTTTTGGTGGCGTCCTTGGCGGCTTGCATGAATTCTTCCATCACTTCGACGCTCACTCCGAACTTCAGAGGGTTGTCCTCTGTCAAGTACATGAAGTACTTGCCTACGGCCTCTTCGTGCTCCTCGGCGTCTAAGGACCCTGGAAATAGAGATTATTGTATGAAATTTTATTAGATAGCCCTTTTGGTTTGCATACTGAATTACTACTTCAGTATGCCAGAGGTCACGGGTTCGATTAAGCCTTATGTAGTTGTTAGGGAATGGGTGGCGCAGTGTTTAATGTTCAAGAATTATTTCTTTAATGTTATTTTTTTATTATTTTTATGTTAACAACGACGTTATTAATTGTTAGTACATATTGTTATCAATTTGCATTGGTTTTTAAATGTAGGTAACGACCATAGTGGGAAGATGATCAGACATATTTTTAAGGTACTTATGATAAATGATAGTTATGACTTCGCCAGCCATGTATGATGCTAACCAGGTCGGATCATCCGGATGACGTTCATGGCCTGGTCGGGCAGGAACCGGTGGAAGTGCACCAGGTAGCAAGCCAGCATCACGCCGGAGCGGCTGCGGCCTTGCCGGCAGTGGATGCCTATGACCTGATGGAACGACAACAATTTTAATAAAATTATTTGAATGTTATTCATATTCACTGTTGCTGAATAAAAATAAATAAAAACTTGATTTATTTTAGTGGCCGCATTACGATTGCTTCTAAAGTTCCAAGTCGCATTGAGCCGAAGGAAAAATTAAGTGAATGTTATGTTATCGTTAAGATGACATCCAGCAACAAGCTGGAATAAACTGGAATCTGGATGCATGGCCAGGGACCGAGGTCGGTGGAAGGTGAAGAGGAGGCCTATGTTCGAAGACGAACGACGACAAAGTATAGATAGATAAGTAGTTAAATTATAATAAAATTAATTTCAAAATAGTTAAAAGAAACAATCATTTTTATCCCTGGGAAACACGGATGTGGTTTTCAGCTTCAGATAGGCGAAACCGCGTAAAAATATTATATTATGAGATGCTAGTTCTGAAAATACGGTCAACGTCATGATGAGTGTCGAAATAAAATAAGTACATATCTATAAAAACGGCACTAACCATGTGAATCTAAAAAACGCGATAGATGACAGATCGCTTACGAAAATAATAACACTCAGTACATTCACCGGTTGTCCGGAGTTGCAAGTTTTTTGTTGTTTTGCCAAATAAATATTTTTAAAAGAACTCGACAGCCGTGCTGTCTACAGTAACATGAATGGGTGAGAATATTAATTGAGTCTATCGATCGCTACATCTGTTTGTTTGTTTAAATGCTAGTAAGAGATTACTGTAACATTTCTTGATAAAAAGGATAGATTAAAAAAAAGTTTATTTTAAAAATTCCACCATGTGGGCTGTAACAAATCAGCTGTGAGTTGAACCCAAGACTCCAGGACCAGAAAGTAAAGTCACTGGTTGGGTTTTCTTGGCGGTCAAGCTGTAGATCCTGGCTGCACAGGAGTTGCAGCGATGGGAATAGTCCCGTTTGACCAGAAAGTAACTCTAACTACTAAATTACACAGGCATCGGTTGGTTTTAATTTATATCACACTGCTGAAATGATGTGTCAACTAAATTGCCTGATAGACAAAAGTCGATTTTAGCAGTTAATTTTTATTTTTGAGTAGGTGTTCTGTCATAATAACAGGCCGAGTATAAAGATAGAACTATGTAGTACATAATTTACTAGATTGAAATCAAAGTATCTAATAATAACAATTTTAAATTATTTTGTGTAGGAGTCAAGTCATAAATCAAACAAACTATTAAGAACTTCACAACAAGGTCGGTCTATCTACACATCTGATAAATCAGTCTGTCTATTGAAACGTTACTGCTATTTGAAACTAAATTAAAGTAGGAAGTGTTTGAAAATGTTACAATAAATCTTAATGTTAAAAAAAGTGTCGGAAACAACAAAATCGGACCACGCAAATAGGACGAGGTCGATTCAATGCATCATGAACATAGAAATCTGGATAAAATGAAACGGCAACACTAGAACACTTGTAGGTAATAAACAGTGTCGTTTGTAAATATGGATCAAACAAAAGGATTGATGCCCGTTTTCACCATCTATCCTTAATTTTTAAATGCCCCTATGAAAACAAAATTCCTGTTATGTATAAGGGGTCACTTAAAAATTAGGCATATAATATGGTGAAAACTACCTAATGCAATTGAATTTTCAGAAACAATATTTCACTTCTCGAAAAAATATTAACAACTCCATATTAATTTACAGATTACTGAAGCAAATGTAAGTATTCGAATTTTGGAGCCGTCGAATCATACATAGGGTTGTACTAAATGTAGTACATGGACTGTTAAACAGTTAAGATTGGACATAAACATTAAGGCTGAGTTGCACCATCTTACTTTAACTTTGACAAACTTCAAAAAATTGTCAAACTCTATACAAAAAGTAACGGTTAATGTTATTGTTACGGTTAAAATAATGTGGTGCAAACTCAGCTTGTTGACCTTTTGTTTTAGTTTGTGTTTTCGGTACCTACAAAAGTAAGTAGGACCTATAGAATTTTATCGTTAATTGATATGAAGCATAAGACACAATCCAGAACAATTTAGGCGGTCTTATCGCTATGAAGTGATCTCTCCAGATAACCGAAGAAGAGGACGGTTGGACATGGTGTTTGAATACCAACTTAGGTTGTTGATAATCTTCAATCATCAGAGAAATGACTTACGCCCGATTTCATAATCATTACTATGAGGTCTCACAGTGCCCGTGGACGCACAGGGTGACACACGAACCAATCACAAAGCTCTATTCAACGCTGTGCGTTCTATTTGCTGCATCACTTAAGCAAGCATCGCATATTATGAGTCAAGTTTCAACTTACCTCGCCATTTTTGTCAGCCCGTTTACAGACATCTATAAACTTTTTGACGTCATCAACTGTGGGTACTTCGAACTCCTCAACCGGCACTTCAGTCCACCGCAACCTGGCAATATCGTCCACTGGCGGCTTCTTGCCGGCTGTCAGTGTTACCAGGTGCGTGATACCCTGGTTGGTAAGAAACTTTAAATTCTCAACGTTTCTGGGGAAAGCCATCGCTGCCAATTTCTTTGGAATGACCCACGAGAATTTTAGTGGAGGGTACGCATCTACTTCGATCTCTGGAAACGGATTTTCTGGTATGATCACAGTCAAGTCGTTTCTGATCTCTTTCTTCGCTCCAGCAAGGTGCCTGTCCTCCTGTTCGGTTATTTCCTCCATTCTAGTGTAAACTGTGTACGTTTCTTCACCCATTTCTGTGTCTTCTGTTTTCACTGCCACAAAAATGAAAAAAAGTTAGGGACGTTTGTTTTTTGTTTTATTTTTAAATTTCGAAATATGAACACAAGCACTTCTCGCACTGGCAGGTTAGAGAGCGGACCATCTGGCACGATTTTTGTAGGTTGACTGCCGAAAGGGCGGGAAAGATTTGGCACATCCTCTCTCTGGAGTGTAACATTTATTTCTGGAGTTTACAGACCCACCTTGACAACGATAATAATGCCAATGCCAAGGAAAAGTCGTACAGATTTGAGTCTTATTTTGTGGTAAATAAGAAGTGATTTTTTGGTGTTTCATTTCTTCAACATGAATTATATTTGCGTTTTGGGTCCATATTATGCCAAAGAAGTTGACAGATTGTAATGAAAATTAGCGCGTGTACAATAAAAATAATGCTTCGGCGGAATATTGTTTGAAATTTCGACAGTGACGTCATTGATTCTCAATGGATCGCTGACGTCACAGGATGGTGTTTTGTAAACATTCAGTAGGGAGATTATTTTCGCATCGCAGTATAATTGTTAATGGGCCACAAAGACGTTGCATGGATGCATGATATAGCGCGTATTTTCATCTTTACGACTTCCGCGCGGAAAATTATTTAAAGAGCGTATTAAGTTACCAATTTTATTTTTTCGTTGAAGTGATTTTAAGACCACCTAGGTAGACTAGGGCTAGGTCTTACCCAATTAAACCTCACTAACTAGAACAGGCAAGTTCATCCGTTTAAAAATCTACGTTACAATAAGTTTAGAATCTACTAGAGAAAGATAGATGCAGCGGTGCTGACAAAATTTTATTTCTTCGCAAATTATTTAAAGAAAATCTTTAAAACTAAATTTTACAAATAATAAAAATATTGAGCCTACAAAATTTGCACAGCGTCGCCATAAAAACCTCGGGAATGCATTTTTATCATATTTATGCATTTCGGTACAGCACGTAGTTTTATCTTCCTCCTGAAAAATTACTTCTTTTACACTTAAGAGGTTTTCACTCTAAGGTATCGACAGGTTTGTCACTTTTTACTATTGTTTGATCATCAAAATCATCATCAACAAGTCATTTAGTCCCCACTGCAGGAGGAAAACCCTCTCTTATTTACCAGAGGCAAATGGAGGATTTGGTCTACACTCCCCACGCTGGCCAGACGGGATGGCACCAAAGTATCACTATTCAAATTCTTTAAACACTTATTAAATCCACTTACCAGACATTTTATTTATTTTATTTTATTTAAATGCTGCACCTGCCCTT